GAACAGACCCTCCATGGGCTTCGGGACATAGGAAACGAGCCAGCAGCCTCCACTCTCAGGGTCTCAGAGCTGTTCTTTGCCTCCAGCTCCCCCGACCCCCCACAGAGCGGGGGCTGAGGGGGGAACCCATCACAGCGCTGTCAGCAGGAACCGGAAGGGGGTCCTGGCTCTCCCTACCCAGGCATTCTGCTGGCGGTGAGCCGTCAGGGCCGCCCTCCAAGCAGAGAACATGGGGCGCCCAGGGTGGGAGTTTTCTCAAGGTGGGAGACCCTGCCCTGCGACATATGGGAATTGGACATGGAGCCAAGGAAAATCTCACTTCCCTTTTCCTTGGTTTTAGGAACCAGGCCATGTAGGCAGCCGTGTGTGCCCACCTTTTCCTGCACCCAGGCAGAAGGACCTTTCTCTGGTTTAGCAGGAACCAGAGGTGGCTCACAGGGGGCCGGGCTGGGTCCCCACCAGTCCCCCAGCACTCAGGAGCCCCCCGGGGCGCACACTAGGTAGGAAGTCTCTGCAGACTGGAGACCACTGGCAACAGGAGCAGCTCTGCGCTGACCCCTTTCCAGCTGTATCATACTAAGAACTAACATGCACTTATGGAGCACTTACTGTATGCCAGATGCCCCTTGAGGGGCTTGACATGCATTAACATATTTAATCCTCCCCATAGGTCTATGAAATGGACCCCGTTATTGTGCCCATTTTATAGACCAGGAAACCGAGGCATGGTGAGGTTAAGTGACTTATCCAAGGTCACACAGCTAGAAAGTGGGAGAGCTGGGTTTAGTGAGCCAGACATCTGCTTCCCAGCCCTTCTGCAGAGTCACCCTGAAGTGCTGTGCTGACAGAGAGGTTGGGGATGGGGGTAGGTGTTCAAGGCAGAGCGTTGTCCTGCTGTAGGTAAAACTCCAGTGTCCACCAGGCTCCAGTGAATCATGGAAGGGCTTCGGGGAGTGGGCTGGGGCAGCAGCCCAGGGAGCAGAGTGGCTGACAACTCAGCTCCATGGGGGAGGGGAGCAGACCAAGTGTGCTTCTCAGGAGAGCCCTTGGGACAGCCCATTCTCCCCTCGCCACGCCCAGGCTCTTGGACTGCTCCTGAGAGGTACTGCGCTAGGCAAAAGTTGCCCTCTTTGCTGGATGGAGACCCCACTGAGACCCCCTTTCCTGTCTGGGAAGCTGGCTGAGCCATTGAGAAGGCCCTGGGACTCTCTCCTGGTCCTGACCCCAGTGTCCCTCCAGCCACCGTCCCCTCCACCCAAGTCCTAGGAATGGGGGTCTCGCAGCAGCAGCCTGGCTTTAGAAATGTCCCTTCTCCTCATGGAGGAAGGAATCCTGCTCATTTCCTACCCCCTCCCTAAAAAGGGCTGAACTCTGTGCCCTCCAGGCTCTACCCATCTCCCTTTAAGTTCCAGGACCCCTTCATCTTGGCATTATCTACCCTCAAAGGCCCTTAAGCCTCATCTCCCCTGTCCTTACCCATTTCAGTTGACTTTTCAGACCTAGCCCAAGACTGAATATTTATTAGGGGGAAAAGCAGAAAAATCTTTGGGCCCAGAGATTTTTGGGGGGAGAGGGGGCAGAGATTTTTGACTTTATTTTCTGGAATTCTGATTCTGATGAAATCCCTCTGTATTGATGATAAATTTAGGAATGTCAGTTAAGTCCCTCAAGGGCCTCGTGTTGGGGGCCACACAGGATCTCACTGTAAGAAAGTGCACCCCCAACCCCCAATTTTCAGGTCAGGTAGAACTCACTGAGTCAGAATCAAGCCCACAGAGCAAGGTCAGAAGTGCTTGAGGCCCCTGGAAAGGGATAGGAGGGAGGGAGGAAGGGTAAGAGAAACAGAGGGAGAAAGGCCTGGGGGAGAGGGAGACTCAGAGCCTGTCATTTCCAGGAGCCCATCACAAACAAGGCAACTCTTCTGAGCCTTTTCTGAGTTCTAGAAAGTGTCTGTGAGCACCTATAGAAATGGGGTTTGGGGGACCCTAGAACACAGCATGTGCTGGGTTAAAGCAAAATGAGACAGGCTTCTGGGAGCAGAGTCTTGAGAACTTAGGGGAATCTCCAAGAGGAGGGTGGAGGAGGGCCTTCCCAAGGTGATTGGACTACAGGGCCCGTTTGGGGATGGAGGGTGCGGGAGGTCCCCTTTATCATCAGTAGCAGCAGAATGGTGACTCAGTAGAAGGATGTTTGGATCAAGACATGGTAGGAGTGAGTGGTGCTCCAAGCCCCCCACATACTGGTGGGTGGGGTATGGAGTGGTCACTGGGCAAGGCACAGCTCTCCCAAAGCCTCAGCTTCCCTATGAAATGAATCTTGCAGCTTCAGGCCTGGCTTCTTCAGGGGACCATTGTGAGAGGGGACAAGAGTGTGGCTGTTCATCATGTTGCCTCTGAACAGGCCTGATAGTCCTGTCCCCCTGAAACTACTGATGACCACCTCACAGACCCTCCCTCCCCTAAACTAATCGCCAACAACCTTATCCCATAGTCATCAAGCTGTCTGCCTACCAGTCCTCCTGCTGGGTTTGGGGAGGCGCTAGGGACATTTGAGAAGGCAGAAGCAATCAATCCCTAGGCTTTCAACGATGACCTAAACATTTAGTTTAGACAACACACAATGAAGGCCAGTTCAGGCTCAGCCCCAATGTTTTTGGGGATACAGGAGGTGACTGAGCTGCCACCTCTTGGGCCTCAGGTCCACCCAAGAGACAGCAGGATTGTGCCATGGGGTCGGGCTACACAGCATGTATGGTGTGGACCCATCAGGAGGCTGTGGTCACTCAGGCCTGGGGCTGGGAGCTGAAGTCCTCCCGAATGACCAAGAGAGGAGGTAGGATCTGAGCCAGGCCAGAAAGCAGTGCTGCGAATCCAGGGTCTCAGCAAGTGAGCACAAGCCTTCTCAAGGTTTCCCTCCCAGCCTTCCCCATGCCCAGCATGCCTAGGAGGAATGGCTCCTGGGGTTAAAGGGCCTTTGGAATGAGCTTCCAGTGATGCAACGTGAAGTGTTTGAGAACCATGGGTGTGCACTGATTTAGTTTGGACATTCACCATCACTATCACCACTGTCTCCCTCTCTGCCATCACCATGATGATCACTGCCATCCACCATACCACCATTTCTGTTACCGCCATCATCACCACCATCCACCACCATTACCATCACTATCAACACCACCATCCACTCCACCACCAGCATCACCATCACTATCAACACCACCATCCACTCCACCACCAGCATCACCATCACTATCAACACCACCATCCACTCCACCACCAGCATCACCATCACCATCCATTCTACCACCAGCATTACCATCACTGTCATCACCGCCATCAACTCTACCATCATCACCACTGCCACCTCCATTACTGTCACCACCAGCTCCGCTCACCATCACCACTGCCTTTACCATCGATGCCACCGCCCCCATCATCTCCATCCCCACCCCATCCACCGCCATGACCAGCAACAGCACTAACACCACCCACTTCATCACATTTTCCTCTTGCCTTTGACCACCCAGAGATAAGACTACAAAGCCCAACCACGAGCACCTCGCCTCTTTTAATCCTCTGCACCCCAAATATTCATCTTCATGTCTATTTGCTCATATCAAAAAGACCAACCAAAGGCTGACCAGATAGCATACCAAGCTGAGCATACATCGTGGTTTGTCCAGAACAGTTCCAAGTCACACCTATTTTCCCTGCTTTGTTATTCACTATGTCCAGTTGCCTGACACAGTATATGGTCACCCTATAACATAAGACCACAAGGGCTAGCACCCCAAGGATGCTGACCTGGACCAGAGCCTGGTGGGGTGACTGGGAGGGTAAGATACACCCCCACCAGCCACTGATAACTAATGGATGTCCCTGCCTCCCCCTCCTTTGCCTTCCCCACTCCTCCACCTGCCCCCAGGAAACCCCTGAGAAAAGAGGAGAACGGCACTGGCGTTGCTGAGTACCCTATGACTTCCTCGCAGAGCAGCAAAGGGGTGGACGCGAACAGCGCCATGGTGTGAGTCCATAGGCCCTGGACTGCTGGCCAGAGGGACACCTTGGTGGCACTGGTGGACGTGGGAAAGCGGGTGGACACGAGCTGACACTGGGCTTGCCCAGGACTTCATCACCTTGCAGGCTTCGAGCCTCCCAAAGAAGAAAGCCTCCTTTGCCCAGCCTCGCCCCTTGGTCAGCCCACGGCATGGATGCTGCGGACACCAGGCTGAGCCAGGCTCACCGGCGGGCGGCCTCCAGGGTAGCGCTGCCATCTGAGGCCCCGTGTCTCTTCCTCCTCTTGTGTCTGATCCACGGACAGCCCCCCGGCTGGTGCCTAAAGCACACACCCTGAGAAGGCCGGGAGCCTGTCTGCCAGGGCGAAGAGGTGCCCCCGCCCCTTTCGCCTAAATGAGACCTCCCCTCCCCACCAAGAAGCCCGCCTGCTTCTTCCCTGACCACGCCATTCCCAACAGAAGCCATGGGCGCAGCCACGAGACGTCCCCGTTCAAAGGTGCTCCCACCCATCTTCCCGCCGCCCCGTCGTTGTCTCGGTCTTCAGGGCCTGCCTTCTCCCTCCCATCTCCATCACACCCAGGGCCCCTGGCTCCTGACTCCCCGCCACAGGGGGCTGTGCGCCCCACCTGCGCAGTCCGGATTGAGCCGAGGAGCCCGGTCACACCCCCGGGTGGGGTCTGACCGTCCAGGGCAAAACAACGCCCTGAACCCCAGGTCTGGGGCCTTGGAAGGACGGGGGCCACTACGCCTGTCCTCAGACTCACTCCCACATCTGACCCTCAGAGGAGCCGACGCTTCCCTGTGAGCCAGGCCCTGCCTGCCCCCCCGGCAGAGGCCACCCCCGTGCCAAACCCACCACCGGCGCTCCGGCCTGGACTCACCGGCCTGGTGCTGGGCCCCTGAACGCTCCCTGAGGCCTGGTACTCAGAGCCTCTCCGGAGAGCCCCAGGCCTGCCGTCATCCCGAGGGAGCCCGCATGCTTCTATGGGCGCCTTGAATGTCCCCTGTGCTCTGAAAGTGCTGAGTCCTCTGGAGTGGTTGGTGGACGAAGGGAAGGAAAGGAGATGGGAAGAGAGGGACCCTCCAGGCCTGGTGACCCCCATCTACTGGCCGAGTGACCCCCACCTGCCAGCCTGTTTCGCTGGCGGCCAGTCACCCTGTGGGCACATCACTGGGGCCCCGGAGACAGCAGCCTTGCGGTTTTGCACTCCCGGAGGGCTGGGAGAACACTGCTGGGGCCCTGGCTCCCTCACCCTCCACGCACTTGCTGAGAGGAACCCATCACAGCCAGGGGCTCCGCTCTCTGGCTATGCAGGGTCCGAGCCGGGGACCCTGCCTGCCTCCCAGACCACAAGTGTCAGTTGTTCTCTGGAGGGCGTTTGGGCCACAGGTGAGACTCACATCCAGGGGAGACTGACAGACTGAAAACCAATCCCCATTTGGGCTGAACCTTGAAACATCCATCGCCCGGGAGCCCTGGTGCCCACGGAGGCGTCTGTGTGCCAAGAGCAGGGGAGAAGGTGAACGTGCCGTGACCTTGGCCCAGGTCCTGTCGCTAGGTCAGTGGGTGCAGGCTGAGGCCAGGCCCCGGGCAGAGCCTCCCAGGGAGGCTCTTCCCCCTCTCAATGCTCCCCGCATGAGGACTGGCTTAGCTCTGGACCGGCTTCTGTTCTCCCTGTGTGCCTTAGCGCGGGGCCCCCGTGGCCTTCCTCCCTGCCCCACCCAGTAGGTACTTGACGGTTCGTGCCCTCCACTTGCCAAGGATGCAGAGCTGAGTGACAAGCAGGCCAGAGGCTGTGGGCCCCTCAGCAGGACAGACCCCGTCCCAGCGTGCTTTCCTCACTGCCTGTGGCTCCTGCTGATCCCCTGCCCGTCCCCTGAGCAGACACCCAGGCAGGACCCCAGCCCGACGCACACACTTTCCTGGTCCAGGAGTGATGGGAGAGCATCTGTGACCAGAGGGAAGAATCCTGGCTGAGTGGTCGTGGAGTCCTGGGCAGTCAGTCTGGGGGGGACATGGAAGGAAGCAGGGCACACTCCAGCTTTTGCAAAAGCCTGTTGATCCCACCTTCCGCAGCCTGGGCTTAAACCTGAGTGGCTCAGATTTTGCAATTAACTTAATCCTCCAGCCCCAGCCAGGCTCCCCATCAGGATCCCCAGAAAACCATCAGTCCTTCACTCTGGAGCCAGTATCCACTTCCCTGGGGACACACAGCCCAGGCTCCGTGAAAAGCTAACGTTTGCACATAAATTCCCCCAAATTGGGTTTGTCAAATCTCTTCTCGCCCAGTTAGTGAAAACTAAGAAAAGACCCCAGTTTTTAAAAGAGAATTCACTTGAGAACAAACACAGAACCGGCCATTTGGAAGACAGCCCTCACGGGTGCAGGGAGAGAGCCGCCCGTGGATTTTCAGCTTAAGCAACAGAAGATCCATAAAACCACCCAGCCTGGTATTTGAGCTTAAACTTAAATTTCAGGCATATATCTTCAGCCCTTAAACACGGACCAATCCTCAGGCTACTCTGAACCTTTGAGAACGACAGGCACATTCCTTTTCTGCATTTTCTCAAATAGATATTTTTCGACCGTCTCCTGTCAAGCCCAGCTTTAGAATGGCATATAGGATCTTCCAGAGGTTTCAGGTGTTCCTTAGATGCTTCTAAAGCAAGTTTTGGAAGAAAGACTAATAGCTGTAAAAATAGACATATATATTATATATAGTTATATATATTTAAAGAGATATCTATCTATATATATATAATTACAGTACTCTCTGAATCTGTACAAAGTATGATTTCAACAGCCCAGGTAGTGTGCGATATCTAATGCATGAATGTAAATACCCTGAGACCTGCCTTCCTCACGGTTGCTAAGAGCGCGCGGGAAGATGGCTCCTGTTCCCAGTTTTGTCTCAATGGACCAATACACACGTCGGTGCCCTCCTGTCCACCAACGAGCCTCTGATGTCGACTCTGTTCTGAGATGTTGTGTAGGAAGCAGGACAGGCAGCGTGAGGGGTGGGCTACATGCTACTTAGAGGAAGAAAGCACCATGCCTTTTTATTTTCAATAAAAATATACTTATAAAGATGGCTGTCTGTTGCCATTTGTGGTGGGGGCTTGGCCGGGGGCAGAGTGGGAAGGAGAGGGCAGACAGTGCACAGGTGTGGTCCTCCCTTGAAGCTCTGCTGCAGACCCGGGTACCTTGGACACCTGGCTGGTCTTGGTCCCTTGCCTGCCTGGTTTCTATATGGTTTCATCATAATTCCCCGAGGTCGGCATTTATGGGGATTCCAAGGCACTCAGCTTTTCCCTCACCCCAGATCGAGCGACCTTGATCCTTGACTCAATCAAGAGGAGGCTGGTCAACCATCCTAGTTCACCTGGGACTGGGAAGTTTTCCTAAAACGTCAAACCTTTGGTGCTGAAACTGGAAAAGTGCCGGGCAGATTGGATGAGCCAGTCACTCTTATTTGCAAGTCCTAATGAGAATCATGCGGGGCAAGAACCCACGGCCCACGCTGGAGGGGAGATGGCTAGAGCTGTGGCCAGTGGCGGGGCTCCTGCTATGTCCACCCCCGGTCCGGACCTCGGCCCCCACTGGTCTGCAGCGCCTCCTCACCCAGCTGCTCAGAGCACTGGGGCGGCCCGCCCTGTGCCCCCAGGCAGATGGGTCCCAGCCCTGCAGGAGCAGTCCTCTTTCCCCGGGTTTTTGGAGGGAAGAGGTTCCTCTCTCACTGTCAGGGTGAGATGGAGAGAGACTGCAGCCTCATCGGTTTTATCTGAGGGCTGAGGCAACAGTTTGGAGACAGCCAAGGTCACACAGACACAGACAGTGGTTGGGGCTGGGTTTGCACGCAGACGCGAGTGTCTCAGCACACAGCCGCCGGACATGATGGAGGGAACCCCGGCCCAGACTGTCTCCCCACAGGTGGGGTGCCGCAGGGCCCCATCACCTGGGTCCCCACGGCTTCAGAGTCAGCTCCACAGAGGCAGTTGGGAGGGCTCTGTGTGCCCAGAGTTGGGGGGTCAGAGTGCTCTCCAACCCGACAGCTCAGGGGGGTGTCGGCTCCGCACGGGGTCTCAGGAGGAAAGGGCCCATGTCTCAGGCACCTGGGATCAGGGCAGAGCGGGGAATCCATGGAGGTCCCCGCTGAGAGCCAAGAGGTCGTCATCTCAGTGGTACCCCTGGAATCCCACGAGCTGTCATTTGCTGAACCCCAGCACAGGTCCTGGCATGCCCTGGGCCTGCAGTGGCCAGTGGCCATCACTGCGATCACTCTCACTGCTGTCGCTAATAGAAAACTGCCATCTGGGCCAAGCAAGAGCCCCTCTACCCACTGGTGGCCCACTCGGGTCCCCCCGGTAGAGATCCGGTGGAACACTTCAGGCCTCGCCCCGGTGGCCCTGCGCTCCAGCCTGGTAGAATTTATGGGAGCAAACCCCGAGGCCAACCACCCAGGAGGCAGTCGACACCAGGCCCGTGTGCAAGGCGCTGCCAACTCCTGCAGGTGCCCGGGCAGGGAGTGGAGGGTGGGGGTGGCAGCAGGAAACAGGGCCAGCCTGGGAGAGGGGGCGGGGAGCGGCCGAGGACCGGGGCTGGGGGACCGTCAGCACAGAGAGGCAGAGTCCCCTGCCACGTCCCGTCTCCACTCACATCTCTGGGGCTTTTTGCTGAGATTCCAGCTCCAGAGACCACCATGGCAAACAGCAGCATATGCTCTGCCCACCTGCCGGCTTCATGCCCACCCATGAGCCTCCCACCTCCTGCTTGGGGTCCTGCTGCTGCCACCCTGGTGTGAGACACAGTGGGATCCACAGGCCCCCCGGGGGGCCCCCGGAGGTGTGCTGGAATGACTGCCCCTGACCAAGGGGGAATGGCCATTCTTCCTTCTCCACAATACCGCACTGAGACACAGCGAGTGTGGCATCTCGGTGAGCGGGAGTGACCAGTGGCACTGGATTCCAGGCGGTGGCCTCCCTAAGGCCTCATCCTGGGACACACACACACACACCCCACCTGACTAGTGACCAGCCCCACTGGACACTCACTTTCCTCCTCCACTCTCCCCTGCCCCCCACCCCCCACCCCCAGGCACTAAATGCCTTCAAGTTCCCCTACCCCTTTCACCCAATTTGTTGCTGCTGTTGTTGTTCAGACACTAAGACATGTTTGACTCTTTGCAACCCCATGGACTGTAGCATGCCAGCCTTCCTTGTCCTTCACTATCTCCGAGTTTGCTCAGACTCATGTCCATTGAGTGGGTGATGCCATCCAACCATCTCATCCTCTGTTGTCCCCTTCTTCTCCTGCCTTCAACCTTTCCAAGCATTAGGGTCTTTTAAAATAAGTCGGCTCTTCACATCAGGTGGCCAAAATATTAGAGCTTCAGCTTCAGCATCAGTCCTTCCAATGAATATTCAGGGCTGATTTCTTTTAGGGTTGACTGGCTTGATCTCCTTGCTATCCAAGGGACTCTCAAGAGCCTTCTCCAGCACCACAGTCCAAAAGCATCAATTCTTCAGTGCTCAGCCTTCTTTATGCTTCAACTCTCATATCCATACATGACTACTGGAAAAATCATTGTTATGACTGTACGGACCTTTGTCAGCAAAGTGATGTCTTTGCTTTTAATATGTGATCTAGGTTTGTGGTAAAGAATCTGCCTGCAATTCTGAACACCCGGGTTCCATCCCTGGGTTGAGGAGATCCCTTGGAGAAGGAAATGGCTACCTACTCCAGTGTTCTTGCCTAGAGAATTCGTGGACAGAGGAGCCTGGCGGCTACAGTCCATGGGGTCATAAGGAGTCGGACACAACTGAGCGATTAACAGTTTCATCTTCACTAGGTTTGTCCTAACTTGCCTTCCAAAGAGCAAGTGATTTTAATTCCATTGCTACAGTCACCATCACAGTGATTTTGGAGCCCAAGAAAAGAAAATCTGGTCACTGATTCCACTTTTTTCCCTTCTATTTGCTTGAAGTGATGGGACTGAATGCCATGATCTTAGTTTTTGAATGTTGAGGTTTAAGCCAGTTTTTTCACTCTCCTCTTTCACCCTCATCAGGAAGCTCTTTAGGTCCTGCTCACTTCCTGCCATTTAATCCTGGCACCTGGAGTCTAAGGATGCCCTCAACCCCAGAGAAGCACCCAGAGATAGGCCTGAGACACAGGTGGTCCCTCCTCTCGCACTCTTAGGGAGGTCTCGCCCGGGTCACGGGGTCCACAGACTTGGGAAGCCCCTCGACCAAAGGTGAGGCACCCTCACTGGGCCCCCGGGGAGTAGGGAGGGCTCCTGGGAAACAGAGAGGCCTGCAGGGCTTCCCAGAACAACGTGAATGGCAATCCCGGGCCGCCCGCATCCCCTCGGCCGGAAACACTTAGCCTGCTCCTCCCCACTAGCCCGTTCCAGGGCTCGCTGTGGGGAGCAGTGGCCCGAGGCTCCCTTGGAGCCCAAGGGCCTGACTGTGGGCCTCACTCTTGATGGCTCTCTGCAGGTGACCGGGTGGCATCAAGAGGGTCTTCCTGGGATGGCTGCTCAGGGACAGGAAGTAGAACTCTGCCCCCGTGAGCTTGCACTGGGCTCTCACCCTTTAGCCCTCTGGTGGACGTGGTCACCACTGACGAGGCTGCAAGGTGGTCCTTCGGTCATCCCCTTGACAGAAGCCCTTGACCTTTGACCCCAGCCCAGTGCTCCTGCACGCATGTCACACCCCCATGTCTTCTAGGAGGTTTCCTCACGGGGTTTGGGGTCGTTTCCTACTGGCTAACCTCAGCCAGGGCCATCTGGGGCCAACAGAAAACGGTGAACCCCAAAAGGCAGGAGGTCCAGGCTTAATCTCTCTTCTCTTCAGAGCTGGCTGAGGGCAAGCGTGCTCCTTTGCCTTTGCCCTAGGCAAACACAAGCCACCCTTCCCAAAGGTCATGAGTGTGTACTGCCTGCCAGCTAAGAGGGGCCGTCAGGAAATCCTCCCACAGCAAAGAAGTGACTTGTCTCCACCGTTAGAAAGCAGAAGCAAGCACAAAATTTGGTTTGTTGATCTTCACGTCCCCTCCCGACACCCCTTAATTTTTTCAAAAATGTCTTCCTTTTCAGACTCACTGATACGTGAAAATAACCCAATTATTTAAAGGGAGTCAGGCAACCCCCCCAACCCCCCTCCCTGCAAAGAAAGAGGCGCTCTGATGGTGGGCATGCAGGTCGGGGGATGTCAGAGTACAGGGCACCACCCCCTTGAGGTGAGCCCAGCCCAATATCTACCCAGAAAGACAAGGGGTCCAGAGGATGGTGGCAACATAGCCCACCACACAGACGATCTCCAGTGAGTCCGCTCTGAACCTGTCCTCAAACAGAAGGACTGACAAGTAGGGGGCCCCTGTCCTGTGGAATTCCAGGGGGCTGGCTTCACGCCACTGATTTTTTGCCTGGAGGTTTGCCCTCAACCTTTCAAGTGGGATATATTATCAGGGGTTCATATGTTCTCTGTGAGAACTTAATCTTCTATTTCATTTTTATGTCAAACGAAAAATAAGTGTAATAAGCATGTCTGGATCCTAGGAATGAGTACATGAGATTTCAGGCCCACAGTCGTGTTCACTGCCCAGAGATGACAAACAGCACCATTTTAGTTGTCGAGGGTGATGAGAAAAGACGCTAGCCGGGCGCCGTGGCCGGCTTGCCGCCCCCCGGCTGGGCATCTCTGAGGAATCCCTCTCGTCTGTCTGCCACACCCTCTCAGGGAGCTCATCCTGTCCCGCCTTCACCTCCCCTCAAATGCATACCGTGCCCCCCCATCATCCCCAGATCTGAGTGCACCCAACCACACACTTGCTGTCCGGGGGCATCTTGTCAAACCCAGAAGGATTTCTGACTCTTGCCCACGACCTCTCTTCACCCCATTGTCCTCATCTCCACACCTGGCCCCTTCCACCACCACTGTTTCTCTGCCCAATCCCTGACAATCAGCCTTTATTTCTCCTTACCTTTCAAATGGGACATGGTCTCAGGGATGAACATCTGCCAGTGGCCAATAAGCCAGCAGGTCTTCCCAGGTGGCGCTAATGGTAAAGAACCCACCTGCCAATGCAGGAGAAGTAAGAGACACAGGTTCAATCCCTGGGCCGGGAAGACGCCCTGGAGAAAGAAATGGCAACCCAACCCAGTTTTCTTGCCTGGAGAATCCCACTGACAGAGGAGCCTAGAGGGACCCTGTCCGTAGGGTTGCAGAGTCGGACACAACTGAAGTGACTTAGCATGCATGCACACACACAATAAGCAAGCAAGTCCTCTCAACTTCGTCTCCAAGACACTTACATCCGTCTGCCTAATTCGGCCCCAACCACCCCCATCCAAGCCACCATCACTTCTTGCCTGGACCACAGAGAAAACCCCTGCCTAAGTGCTCTGCTTCTATCCTGCTGCCCTCCGGATCCTTCCCACAAAAGCCAGAAGGGTCCTTACAAAACATACCTCAGATCATACATAAGTTAAAATCCTGCCCTTGACATTTTTTTACACTTAAAAGCCGCACTGCTTACACTGGCTCACAAAGCCTCTGCTTCTCCTGTACCCACACCCCCTCACCCTTTCTCCCAGGCCCTCCTTCCCCTCGGCTACCCTGTCCTCTCTGACCTCCTCACGTATGCCAGCCCCTTGCCATCTGAGGTATTTGCAGCCATTCTCTCTCCAGTTATCAGCTGTGGCTCTCTTCAGCCACCCCTAGTCCTCTCTAAATGTCCCCTTAGTTTATTTTTAATATGGCAGACCTGGGTTCAATCCCTGGATTGGGAAGATCCCCTGGAGAAGAGACAGGCTAACCAGTCCAGTATTGTGGCCTGGAGAATTCCATGGACTTGTGTAGTCCACGGGGTTGCAAAGAGTTGAACACGACTGAGTGACTTTCACTTTTTTCACCAGCTAAGGACCCTTGTTGATAAATGTATGCATCTCCTGTCTTTCCTCTCCTGTATAAAGTAAGGAGTATGAAGACAGGGGCCTACTCTACTTTTGGGTCTTGAAAGTTAAAGTGGAAAAGTGGAAATGAAAGTCGCTCAGTCATGTTTGACTCTTTGCGACCCCATGGACTATACAGTCCATGGAATTCTCCAGGCCAGAATACTGGAGTGGGTAGCCGTTCCCATCTCCAGGGGATCTTCCCAACCCAGGGATCGAACCCAGGTCTCCTTCATTGCAGGCAGATTCTTTATCAGCTGAGCCACCAGGAAAGTGAAGTGAAGTGAAGTTGCTCAGTCGTGTCCGACTCTTTGTGTTCCCATGGACTGTAGCCTACCAGGCTCCTCCATTCATGGAATTTTCCAGGCAAGAGTACTGGAGTGGGTTGCCATTTCCTTCTCCACTTTAGGGTCTTAGTCGTTGCCAAATCTCCAGACTCCCGAAGTGATTGGCACCAGAAATATTTGTAGAATTAATTAATTGATTATTTAATTGTGGGTTACACATCTAACACTGTCCACATAGTATCAAGAAGACAATATAGCATTTTATTCCCCATAACTGTTCAGAGCATATTCCCACCTCATTGAGCATGGAAGGGAGCGGCTGAGGGACTAGGAAAACTTGAATTTGCCAGCTGTTGGTGTCTGGGCCTCCTCCAGTTTCCCTGGTCTCTTTTGGATGACTCAGTCTCTTTGGGGTAGGTGCTCAGACTGAGAACTTTCTCAGGCCTGTTCCCCTCCAGGAGGCACCCAGCTGGGTTCTGAGTGGGGGTCTGTGGTCTCTGGCGCAGGTAGAGTCAGGTTCAGACCACGTGTATCTTCGGGGTCCTGGCAGGTCTCGTGGCCGGCCTGGGCTCCTTCCAGGACAGGTGACTGCAGGGCTATGTCTGGGCCCTTCCGGTCTGTGAGGGTGACCATGCCTCCCGCTGCCAGTGTCCACACTGCGGTAGGCTCCTTCTCCCGGCCACAGGTCTGCCCGTCTTCCTGCTCTCTCAGCCTAGCCACCTGGGCTCTGGAATCTGCACGCTCAGGCAAGCCGGGAGAGGCTGCTGGAGGTGGGGTGCGGGCTTCTATTCACAGCCCCCCAACCCCACCCCAGGGCTGTAGGCCCTTCTCCTGGAGGCTGTGTGCCACCATGTTATGGGCGCCCTGGTACATTTCCGTCTGGGCACACCATTCTCACCCCAGAGAGGGAAGCTGCAGACAGGCCCACCTGGCCTCCCAGCCCCGCCTTACATCTGTCTGCCTTTGCCTTCGGCCACCAGTCCACTAGGGTCCAGAAGAGGCAGACTCTCCGTTCCCTCCACCTGTGTGGTCTGAACCTCCTCCCACCCCACGCCAGCCCCGGAGCTAGGCTGGGGAACACGGTTTCCTGGAGAAGAACAAAAGACATATCCATTTATTATTCTCAAAATATTATCCCCCTGACAAACACAAGGATGTGTTCACACCATACGAAGTCCAAATGATGAGGCAACGCACCATCTGGGCGAGGATTTCCCAGTTGCTCATTCAGACAGAGAAACGTGGGGAAGCCTTGAGTCACACATGCAGCCCAGCAGCGTAGGAATGCCGCGTCCCAAAGAATGGAGCCAAATGCCCATTGCAAGCTGTGATTTCATTTCAGCAAAACACCAGCTGTCACACGACATTCCAGTTGGAAGAAGAAATGGCTGCCTGAGTGTCAGCTGCTTAGCCCAGAGCCTGGCATTCCTAGGAGCCTGGATTTCCTAAGGTGATCGCCGTTAAGTTTAGCACTTCTTCCTGTTCTGTGATTCCCTCTCTGTACTAAGTACTCGACAGACATCATTTCATTTACTCGTCACACAAATGTCGGGAGAGGGGAATTACCATCTGCATTTTGAGCTGATGAAACAGTCTCAGCCAGATGGAATGACTCGCTGGTGGTCAGAGAGCGGGTGGTCGGGAACGTCCCTGACCCGGCTGCAGAGACTGTCTGTGCTCCCCGCCAGCCGCCCCCCAGCCCGTAGCCCCGCGGTGAGCTCTCTGAGCTGAAGGCTCTGGGCACACGCCCTGCGGTCTGAACTTGGCCCGATCCGCCTCTTTGGAGCCCTCCCCACGCCATGCCCGCCCCTGCCCCCGCACCCCCTTCTGAGCAGCGGGATTGTCCTCACCTGAAGGGTTTCTGTCCTTCACACCTGATTACTTGCCGGTTTCTTTCTTTTCCAAGCGGCCACTTGAAGGAGTGGAAATCAGGGCGTCTGCCAGGCAGCCCCAGGAGGCTCCCTCTCCACTGGCCGGCGGGCAGGGGCCTGTCTGGACTGCATGATTCAAAAGCCAGTTCTTCGTTCCACTAAATCCGTGGCCTCCACCAATGTCCCGTGCACCCTTCAGAGATGAGCTGTTGCCAGGGGGCTCACCTTGGAGAGACCAGCCCTGACCTGCAATGAGGTCGAACTGACTGGTGGGGGTGTGTAGAGGCAGGGTGGCAGGCCATAGTCACGTAAATGGGGGTGTTGATGCTAGGGAGAGGTGGGCACCTGAGAGGCTGAAAGCATGGCCTCGAGTCCTGGTTGGCCACTGCCTTGCTGAGTGACACTGTGGCAATCCCACCCCCACGAAATGAGAGGGTCTAGGCAACTTACAGGCCTGCAGGGTGAAGCTGTGAATGAGTGATGCACCAAGCCAGAGGCTACAGGGTGTCGGCCGAGAGGCGGTGGGGTCTTCCTGCTTGGGAGTCAGAGGAGAAATGGCAAG